TTATTATACCCTCTCGTTTCTCAGAATTCGTGTGGGAAATTAACATTTTTAACGCTTGAAATGCGATACACATCATTCATACGCCGACGTCTAGAGACGCTGTCAACTCACGAATTATCATAATTGCGAAAACTGAATCGAGTACCTTTCGGTGTCCCGATTTTTTAAGGAGAATACGGCGGCACCGACAGAAGGAATCGAGAATCGGTTTAACGAGGCATCGGCTCTTTTAAATAATTCATACGCGTCCCTCGGTCACGGCGTAAATTTTCAATACTAATTTCCGCGGACATTACAACCGCGAGCCACGTCAGTGCGACGAGATAGAAAAGAGGGGAAAAATATGCATTATACGGGCACAATGCTTGTCTAAGGAATGAACATGATGAATGAAAGAGTCAAACGATGGTCCCGAAGCCGGTAACGTCCAAGGATCCATCAGCATGGTCGTTTTGCTTTCTCTCCGGTTTTCTCTCTCCCCCTCCATCCCGGTTTCCCCCTCCCCCTCCCCCCTCCCTGCATTCGCCCTCTTTGACGCAGTCGCAGCTTTGATATTCCTGCCAGAATATCCCACTTATAGTTAGTGCATAAGCCTCCGTTTCTCTACTCGTTCCATCTCTATCCCCCTTTCTTTTTACTCCCCCGTCCTTCCTCGCTTGCACCCCCTCGCTTTGACGCTCGCGGTTTCTCCGTCGCGCGCGTTTCCACGCTTTCTCTCCTTTTCCATTTTCCGACACGGTCGTTCCATCACACGCGGCTACGGTGCCTACTCTCTCCCCGTTTCTCGCCGACTCTTTGTCCCGTCTCCTCCGGACGACGTTCAACGCTTTGAAACGTTCCTCTCCGCGTCGCGGCGGCGTATGTCTCGCGTGGATGTAACGCGTGCTCGCGCGACGACCTCCCCCAACGCGCGAGAAACTCTCGGGTCAGAGATCGACGGTCAAAGTATCCGAGCGCGAAAAGCGTTTCGTTTCACGAACGCTACGCCACCGACTGTTCCCTACCGGGATTCCCGCGTATCCGAAGGAACGGCGATAATTAAGCCGATACGAATCTCGCGTAATTCGCGTGGCTGAAATAACTCGGCGGCCGCTCTCCGTGTCTGATTTCCTTTTTCTAACTCCGGCGATTACGAAACAGGGAAGGTGACGATGGGACTCAATCTGCCGCGCGACAAAAACGAGGATGGGCGAAATAAAAAGGTTCGGGACACGATGTTCGCCGGACGGTGAACCATGTCGATCCGGACGCGAAGTAGGCGAAAGGAAAGGGTGACGTATAAAATTGGTCTGCCCGGTCGGAACCGGACGGTCGACAGGAATTTCCAGGGGTTCCAAAACGATGGAGGTCCTCGATCGGTGAACGCCCACTTTTTCGCTGTTCCAATTAGGCGGGAACCCCTTGCGCACGTTTTATTTGCTAGTTGATTGGTGTCGAGAGGACAGTAGTGGGAAGTAATGAAGACGGTTAAGGGTAGGACACGATGAACAGTTATTGGCTTCCCGAATAATTTCGTCGACACGATCGCGGATTTTACAGGCATTTAACTGTTCGGGCAATTAGCATCAGCGACGCGATCGAATAGACAACGGTTCTACGACGCTTGCAGGGATCGACTCGGAAATTACAAATTCAAATAGCCGGACGAAATGAAAACATGTAAAATTCTTATTCTACCTTTTAAACTTTGTAGAAAAATGCTATAAAATTGTAAAGTCATTCTGAAACTACGAAGGTACCACATATTGTATATTAACGAAGGTAACAGGATTGTCGATATTGGCACTTGAGAAACAATGCGGAGGAGACAGTAATAAAGGCTCGATAACGATGGTTAAACGACTCGTAAACGATGTTATCGTTTGTATCGAGTAGACGAAAAAACGTGTCTCTAAGCAAGCCCCGGATATCCACGGAGGCACAGGTTTGAGGTTTCCAAGGGGTCACTGGAGGCTCTCCCCATACATATTCATGCCGAGTATTTACCTAAGGCCAGAAAAGAACTGTTAAGAACCGAGTGAACGTATCGCATTAATACGAGGGTCCTCAGAGAGATCCTACGAATACGTAGGTATATGCAAATGACACCGTTCCCGGCGGGAAACCTTTAAATCACACATCGAGGCTACCAATAACACGTCGACGATCCGTAATACAAGACAGGCTTTATGCTCGTTGCGCAGCCAGCCAGCCAGGCGAGCCAGACGGCAGTAGCGAAATGCTCGTCGTCGAGTTTAAAAGGATCGCGTTCTCTAAGTACCGTAACATGTAATAACAACCTTTCATCGGACATAATTCGAAGACCTCGATTAAAATAACAAATAGGCGAGACCGAGGCGCGCGTTACGCGGACGTAATCGCTGCGCATTGTTGCCCGGGCTGCAACAAGTTTTTACAAGAGGAGAGTTTGTTAATCGCTACCAGAGGAGAGGCTCGGTCATCGCGTAGGATTATACAGAGACACGCCACTGATATCTCGCCCGTTTCTAAACGAGCGGCCAAGGAGCATGCGAACGTTCGACGTGCCACGCAACGTCGCGTCGATACATTCGAATTTGCATCTTATTATACTGGAAATAAAAAAGGTTGAGGAAGAAAAATTTGAAATCAACGTTCGCATAAAAAATCTTTTACGGAATTACACAATCACGAAGGAGAGATATGTATACGTGTACGTGAACAAATTACAGCCGGTATTTCTGAGATCCGAATTTATTCAAATTTCTCTCTCGTCCCCTCCTACCGGCTCGTACCCCTTATCTCTCCGCCCGTTCCTCTGAGCGCCAAAAACGAGCAGGAAAAAAAGAATGGGAGGTAGACACAAAGCGAATCTTTTTCTCCTTCAAAACGAAAGCTCCGGCAAATTTATACATCACAATTCACCGCGCACCGCGGCCATTAACGCGTCGACGACCGGAGAACATGACGGGCATGGTACATCAACCTCCGCGTGGAAACCGAGCTGCCCGGTCCCGAAGTACCAAAAAGGAGCCACGCCGTGCTTTTATCGCGAGTAATTCGGGCCACGATCGTACGTATACGGTGTCTAATAAATTCGTGAATGGCCGGCCAGCGACTGAAAATGTCCTATACACCCACGCGTAAACGCACACGAGGCAGCGCGGGGTCCTCTCCTCCGTTTCTTTCTACGGGCCTCGAAACTCCTCGTGGTTGTGTGCGCGCGTGCCTCGGCCCCGGAGAGGTTGTTGGCGTCGCTACGGGTTGTTGCGCGCTTAGGGTGGGTACCGAGCCGACATGGGGGCACCGAGAGAGAGCGGATATTATCGCCAAACGTTAATTTGGTCGAGGCCCGGCCTACCTTCCAATTTTCGAGCCCTTACACGCCCACTTACGAGATTGTCCGTTAATGCTCCGAAACGTCGGGTCGCGTTTTCGACGCCCGCGTTTTACCGCCACGGAGAACTCTACGGGGCTCCATCGTACAGCCTACGGCCAGAGCGGAGGCTACGTCGGAGACTCGCTCCAAAACCTCTTGGCCCTACATACGAAACTAAGAGTATACTCATATAGGGTAAATAGAGTTAACTAGCTGGCAAACTTTTTTAAGCCTACAGGGTAGAGAATCTGCAGGTGTCACATTTCTTGGAGTCAAGGATTGAAACTTGAAATAGTTTCTCTTGAAATATGCATTAAAAGATTTTAACCTGCCGTTCTACATTCCTAACTAGAGTACTCCAATTAGTTTCAAACACTGCTGGTCGTGAAAGGAAATGCAGTCTTCCGTCTTTAAAAGGAAGTCCGCGATGAAATATTCATTGTTGAACGAATGAATCATACAGAAAGATTATCACATTCTTATGAATCATTGCTACAGTCTGCAGGGATACCGCTTAGCGTAAAATGACGAAGAGTATCGCGGTAAAATTAAATCAAGCGTCGCGAAAGGGAACGACGCGTCCGGTTTGCCGCTGAGAAAACAGGGAAACCGTATTTCAACTACGCCTTAACATTCCCGTGCGCATCGCGCACGCCCGCGCCTAATTTATGTAACGCAAAACAAATATACTCGTGGCCGCGCGTACGCAGAACGCGAGACATCGTGGCCGGGGCAAGAAAATAAATACGGAATGGTAACAAGTGGAGCGCAAGAAGGAAGAAAATAGTTCGCGCCGCGATTCGTAGACCCGAAATAGGGCGGTGTGAACAGCGGGAGACTTCGCTGCACGGTACTGTACATCGCGCAATGTGGAGAATAGAAGAGCCTCGTGTATTGTGGCTGTTGGAAAGAACCGGTTATATAGGAACCTTCCTCCATCTTCTCCACCTTCTTCAACTTCTTCTTCTTCTTCTTCTTCTTCTTCTTCTTCTTCGCCTGCTTTTTCTGCCCGTTCTTCTGCCTTCCTTCCCACTCATTCGTCGACCTTTCTTTCCATCCTCGCCAAGTATCCAACAAGCTCCGCTACATAATACAGCCGGGCCTGTAGATGTATACAAGCTCACCTGTATGCGTACACACGTTGTGTGTGTAGCGTGCAGAGGCCCGTATGTACACTTACGTGGGATCCCGACACCATGGGCGCCTGCCTATCTGACATTGGGTTCCTACGAGGGCGAGTTTCTTTTTCTCCCTTTCCTGACCTGGCTACCGACGGACCCGAAGGAACCGTGTATCCTCCTTCCGAGGACCCTCCAGGGCCTTTGGAATTTCGCGAACGTCTCACGGGTAGCCTCGTTTCCGAACGATACGCACGCGGAAACCGACCGGATCTATTGGGTACTCTTTGCGCGGTGCTCGCCGGATATCCCGCGGCGAGTCGAAACACCGCTAGGTGAAACGTCACTGTTAATATATTTAATAGTGCCGATGATATCTGGGGATTATTAATTTTTTACGTGACGCGTTCCGAAATGAAAGCGTGGAAAATATAAATGACCCTTCCAACTATTGTCTCAACTGCGTTCAATCTTCGTCTGGACTCATATGAGTTTACCAAGACGTGTGTAATTAATCAGAAACGCTAATATTGTGCATCATTTAAATGTTCGGACCATTTAATAAGTAATGAGTTCGTTGATTTAACACTTTACAAAGGAGTTTGCAATTATCTGTTATTAATGATCGATGTCTTTTGTTGCAGATTTCGAATAGACAACACAGACCACATAATAGACGTGAACAAGAACAATGCGGCGTTCGAGTACGATCAAGTAAACATAATATGTCCTGTGTACCAGCCAGGAACATATGACGAGGACGCGGAGAAGTATATCATTTACAACGTAAGTACAGCTTGCGTATCGAATTCTAATGGAAAGAATCATGTCGCCGGATAAAAAGATCGTCACGAGCGTTTATCCAACAGACGTGACGGGATTCAACAGATAAATCGAGTTACACCACTGTCCGCCCATTACGCGAAATAAAAAATTGTCAAAGGGCGTTCCGTGTTGTTTAGACAGCTGCCGCTACTCGAAACTCGTTCGTTAACTGTCTCGTATCGGACCCCCAAGAACGACTTCCGTTTCGTAGCCAAACTTTTGATACCGCGTCACCCTCGAGGGGCTACCAGCCCGAGCATTATTTCAACCCGCTCTTAAAAATATTCACAATCGAACATCCTCGTTATCGTACATACGTTCTTTTCGTAGTTTAGAATTTAAACCAGACAATACATACAGACGTAACTAAAAATTTTCTATGGAAAGTGACAATTTGCCTTAAGTAGCATAATTTATGTATTATGCAATTGTTTTAGAAGAGCACATTCTTTTTTATGGTTCTCTGTGTGTAATGTCTCGGAGTACAAACTTTTCGATAAAACATTTTTGTGTACAAGGAAAGATTCTTGTATATAGAAAAAGTTCGAAGCATCTGCGCGCGATGAACAAGAAGCATTTCCAATCGATTCGCGATGGAGGTACATGACCACCGTGTGTCCCGCAGGTGTCTAAGGAGGAGTACGAAACATGTCGGATAACAAATCCGAGTCCACGGGTGATAGCGGTCTGTGACAAACCGTACAAGACCATGTACTTCACGATCACCTTCAGGCCGTTCACACCGCAACCCGGAGGCCTAGAATTCCTGCCAGGCCACGATTACTACTTCATCAGCACCTCGTCCAAGGAGGACCTCCACAAACGGATCGGCGGACGGTGCACCAGTCACAACATGAAGGTGGTCTTCAAGGTGTGCTGCGGCAACGATGCTGACACCTCGTTGTCATCAGCGACGTCACGCAACAACTGTGAGTATCCGTTTTCTTTAACGCAATACCGTACCCATCGAATTTTCTACGGAAAGAAGATCAAAAGAAAAGAACTTTAACGCTCGAGTCTTATTGATAACCGTGAAACAGGAAATTCATTCATAAATTGATCTCTGTCCGACCACAAGGAGCTATTTCGAGTATACGGCCCATATTGTGACGGACCCGATTATGATAATTCGAAATTATAGACGTCGTCTACGTCGTCCGCGCCGCCTTTTCATTTCGCGTGCAAAATCACATTTAAAATCTTCACGGTTTCGCATCACAGCGCAGGTTCCTTTCATTCACACGGGGATGAAACGAATCGAAGGAGAGGTCACGTCGTAAATTCATTAACCGCAAATCAATTGCAAAAAACAAGAAATTTTCACCGCGCAGATTTTTCTCTGAATACAGTCCACCCCCTCGCCTCATTTCTCGCTTATATCGGCGACCAAGCCGTGCCCCTCCTTTCTTAAATATAATCCCTATCAATTATAATTCTTGCTAGTGCACCATTTGTTGCGGTTAGGGGACCCAACGCTGTCTCAGAGCACAATAAATTCCACTATTTCATTCTAGCCCGGTTTCTCCTCTCCCTAATTCGTTCCAACCATCCTCCCAACACCTCCTCCTCCTCCAGCCGCTACCACCGTCCAAACACCCGCCAGAAACGATTCATGCGCCCTAATGACTAGCTATTTCGCTGGCCGAGAACTCTGAACTTTCTTTCTCTCTTTCTCCATTCGGCGCGTCTCAGACACTCAAGATTCCATGGGGCTCTCTATAGCCTCGAAATCCTTTCGCGGATGTCCGCTGTTGCATCTCGAGACCACGGCTCCGTGTACCGTGCTCCACGATTATTATCAAGGGCCATGAACCGCGAGAAATGTTAATCTCGCGGAAAATTTCAGACGAGCTCCTCATTTTTCCCGCAGAACACGATACCCTCCCTCCCCACGCAAATTAGCCGGTGAAAATGCAAAATTAATTTCCGTCTTTATTTCACCGACGAACATCTTCGTGCTTAGGGAACTTCTATCTATTCTACTGAATTCTTCGTTAAAATTTTTCCTTACTGTTTGCGAATTAACGAAGCGTCATCAGTTTCGATTAATTTGGCCAATGAACTTGGAACCTAAAAATGAATCTCGGTCGCGGGACGTGTAACATTATCGCTTTTTTATGAACGGTTTTAAGGCAGCGACACGTACGAACAGGGGAATCGGTGTTTTCATCGTTTTTCCAATCGCGAAGAGCCACAAACGGATGTATCAAACTTTTACGACGCCGCAGTTATGGTTATAACTGTAACGGTTAGTGCCTATACGCGATTTTATTATTACCTATGATACGCCGTCGGCGGATGACCGGCGAGCCGATTAAATAAAATTTAACGAGCGTAATCATAACCACGCTTGTGCGTTCCGATTTAAAATGTCCACATGGTGCGATGCCGGTACAATCGATGGCGATTCACCGGACACTCGTTTACGGCCAATCGTCAACGCACCCGCGTTCCCCGCGAGTAGCTCTGCCGCTGAAAATTACGCGAAACCGGCACGGTGGCATGACTTTACCACGGCGCCGAGTTAAAATCAAAACGCTCTAGCCGGGTCGTTGGAACGCGACGTTATCCTAAATCATCCGACTGGAAATGTCGGTAAACGACGATGTTGCGCGGGCGCGCGTAACAACAGTAATCGAGACCGGTTGGAAATTGCACGCAGCTCGTGGGGTCGGTGGAAAAATCGTGATGAGATTACATCCTAAAATTCAATAGCTGCAAAGTTCACCTCTGGCTATTCTACGGTATACATATCTCAGAAAACAGGGTTTAAGAAATAGGCTCATGAATCTACCTAACTTCGCTGTTTGCTAAAAAAATCGCTAAGTGCTCACGACAATGAACGTCATAACTATCGTCGCATACAATTAAATATTCTACGTAATATCTCTCGTATGTTGGGTGTATTTCGTGGACACCGAGTCCATGGTAGTAATTATGGTTTTGGAAGGAGGGAAACATAGATTAAACGTTGGCTTATGTATGTTTGCAGCCGTAGCCGTGACCAGCAGCACCGTGCCGAGCAGCAGCTCGACGAGCACCGCAGTTTTGGGTGGAGGAGCCGGACTACCACCCCCACCACCACCGAGCGTCCTCAAGGGCGGAGATCGATTCTACCCAGGGGGCAGCATTCATCATCATCACGATCATCATCAACCGGCCACGGCGGCGCCGACCCTGCCCCACGTGCCCCCTCCGGCCATCTACCCCGTGCATCCGCATCAGCCTCCGATTCACAATGGACCGCCGTCCTCCTCGCCGCCTAAGACCTCGATCGGCCAGAAGAAGAAGAACAGTACGTATAACCGCCTCTTGCCACCTGCTCTCTTTGCCGCGAAACGAGTTTCTCGATGCTCCTCGCGACCATTATCTCGGCCAATGATTCTTTCATTTTTTCTTCCCTACCTCTTTCCTTATTCCTTTTTATTTTATCGCTTCCCCTTTCTTGTTCGCCCTGTTCGTTTTGCTTTGTTACGCGAAATTTCTCTCGTCGAAATTAATCGCCGTAGAGAAGGGTCTTCTTATTAGTCGACGCGAATTAGATCGTCCGTGAGGTGTCTATCCGTTGTGTATCGTTTGTCGAGTTTAATTATCCAAGCGAAATAACACGAAGCAGGGAGTTCGATTTATACGGTTCCCTGTATCGCGCAGGTTTTTTCAAATTATATAATGTACCGCCGCGGGTCGCTCGGTTTACGTTGCCTTTAATCGTTGCTTCCATTTTTGTCCGGCTGATAATTATCACTATCGAAATAACTGTTGCATAAAATTAGGATAAACCAGTCGTCCTCGATGACATTACTGCTCGTTATCGTTGCGTAAATCGTTTTTTCGTGACGGGGGCATTTATCGGGGGTTACATCGGGGCTCGTTATTAGCACCGGGTAATTGATATTTTTCCTTTCCAAGGGTACGTTGCGCGCGGGTTGCATCGTCAAACCAAGTATGTGCATACGCGCATACCAGCGATATTTCCATCGGCGTCTCACGATTCCGCGAGGTATTCGAGCTCGCCGAGTACAAAGCCGAAGAGAAACGTCATCGACGACGCGGTCATTAAATTACCGTTACGCGGCGCGGAACGTGACGGTCCATTGCGTGCCAAACAATCATTTTACGTAATTCATTCGGCTTATCGTTCGGTCGCATTAAGTCGGATAAAGTAAATAACGAGCAAACAAATTTTAATGAGGTTTAATATTATATCGTCCCTCGTCCTGGCTTGTTCTACTTATTACGGTCGCCCGATGCATCGTATAAATTATATCGGAGAGAGTGATTATTAAAACCTGCATTCGCTGACCGCACGTGAAATCTTCGAGGCGACACGCCTCGGGTACGGTCACGTCGTCCGCGGACCTCATTTCTTTTCTTTTATATTTAGTCCCTACGTTCGGGACTATTTCAGATAGGGTAAAAGGGAGGGTGCGCGTATTACTCGCTCAGCGGATCGATTATATCGCGTCGAACGGAAGACATTATTTAAAGAATTTCAACTAGAAAACAGTTAATAGGCTGAGGGACACCTTCCGTTTACGACCGCGTGCCAGATGGAGAACAATCGAATGTGGAATATAAAAGGATTCGATTCGAGCGTGTCTCTCTCTCCGACGACCATCTGTCGTCCACTACGCTCGCCCTTCTTATATATCATCATCTACGATAATTTGACTTGAAAATGCGCTGCGAATGCGCACGCATTTGCATTCCAACCGGACCGCGGTCATTAACGAGGACGAGTCCGGCGCTGGACGGAGCCCGCGACAGGGAATTCGTGTTCCCAAGGTGTCGAATTGAAATTATATTCGAGTCGGACCGTACCGCCTTCCACCGTAATAATGATTCGAATTTCTCGATGCTATCGAACTCGTTCAAAAATTTACAGCGTCATTCGTCGGCCCATTGGGCCCCGAAGAAGCGGCTTGTTTTGAGTAGCTTAGTTACTGACCCGTGCGCCGTGGTCCATATCTTTTTAAGGGATACGAGTCCCCTAGAAATTTGATATCACTTTGGAACAGGAGTAATCTAGTTCTTGGAATGTTAACAAGAATAATAACGTTTAATAATACATTAATAAAGGAATATCTAACTGTACGTGAGCAGGTAGAAATCGTTAATAAACCGGTAAATGTACTTTTCTCGTAATTATAATTACGCAAGTAGAGTAAAGAAAAAAAAGGTTGTTTTCCTTCTAACTTCGATATTTAACGAGTTACGTATGATTATTTGGCATTTTATTGATGTTGACAAAATCCGACCATCCCAGCGTCGAAACGGCGAACTTTTGGCAAAAAATTTCATTTTTCCTTAATTACTCCTAAACCGTTGACTCTACGGGAAAATTGCATCAGACCTTTCTTGTAGAGGACGACGAGATCTACAATTTCTGTATAAAAAGTTTTCGCTAGCATTAATAGTTTACGAG